AGGAGGGGAGTGGGGGCTGGTGAGTTAGAGCAGGGGGGCTGGGAGCCAGGAGGGGAGTGGGGTCTCCTGGGATAACTCTGGATGTTGTCATTCTCCATACAACACTCACACATCCTGTTTTGAACCCTGCTCAGCCCCAATACCCAGTGGCAGGTAGTTCCACTGGCTGAGGGGTGAAATGAGCTGTCCTAGGGTCAGAGATTCCCCAGCCTGCTTGAGCCCCGGGACAGAACACCCCGGGGGGTCAGGACGCAGGGGATGGGGGGAGAACCTGCCCCCAGGGGCCCTCTCCATCCCCCACTGCATCCCACAACCCCTTGTTCCCGTAGCAGGATGGGGGGACCCCAACCCCCTTCTCCACCATGGTGCCTCCCTCTGCCCTGTCTCCCCCAAACTCCCCACGCAGCCTCTCAGCACCTGGGTGGGGCCCCACTGCAGGAGCAGGTTCCCCATGGGTGGGACCTGCCCTCAACCCTTCCCCCCAACTGTAGACCAGCCCCAGGCATCCCTCCCTTCTCCCAGCTGTCCTAGACCCAGGGACCCCCTGCCCCAACCCAGCCCTTCCCCACCTGTCCCAGCCAGACCCCGCCGACCCCCTTGTGGCTCTGACTCACCCCGTCCATGGGAACGAGGATCCTGCAGCTTCTCTGGGGAGAGTCCAGGCACAGACGGACTGGGCTGGGCTGTTCCATCTGCCCCGTCTCCCCCAGCAAGGGAGGAGGCTCGGGGGGGAGAGGGGGAAGTGAGAACACCCTAATCCCACCCCCTAGCCAGGGAGGAGGTTCCCGGGGGGGGGGCGGAGAACACCCTAACCCTGAGCAGACGATTTGCCGTGGCGGGGTGGGGGCTGATCCCCAATAAGACCAGCCCTAGGGGGCTGCCGGGGGTCCCAGCAAGTCGTCGCTCGTGGCTCCCTGTGTCCGGGGCGAGGCTGCTGGCCCCATGGCCGAGAGGCACCAGGACTGTCCCTGGGCATCTAGTGACCCTGCTGTTCCTGGAGTGGGCGGCTCCTCTCTCTTTGGGGTGAAAGCCCCCCCGACAGGCCGGGCGTTACACCGTACATACGGCCCAGCCGCTGTCTGCCACCTGCAGGGTGTTATCTGGTCCCTATGCACAGGCACTGTCACCCCCTGCCACACACACACACACACCCCACCTACTGCTCATTCACGTACACACACGAGACACAGACACAAATGCACACTGATGCACTGCACACACACTGACAGCCGTGTAAACAGACACCCTCATACCATTAAAAACACACACACTAACCCAAACACACAAAGGTAACACACACACACACACACACCCTGCAGATCAACACAGTCACACCCTTTGTTCCTGCATACCCTCACTCATACACACACAATACGCCTTCATTCACACCCACACGCTGCGGGCCTTACACACTTGCACCGACACCCTGCACGCCTCTGCTCACTCCCACGCATGCCCCCCCACTCAGCCTGACACATCCAACCTGCGTTTGGCTGACTTTTTCACCCCCTCCCCCAATTCGGCACAAATTATTTTTGGCTGATTTGCCCGCAGGCCGGGCCGGGGAGCGGGAAACCCCATCCTGTCTCCGACCGGGGGGGAGGCTGAGGGGGAGGCTGACGGGAAACAGCCCCAGGGCTGGGAAATTCCCATTATTAAGTAACCGGATTCTTTGCAAAATGCTTCCGAGATGAGCTTCCTGCAGCTGTGGGTGTGACGTTGTGGTGGGGGTGTGAATGTGGTCTGTGATTGTGGTGGGGTTGTCCACATGAGATGTGAGGGGGGTGGTGTGTGAACATGATGTGAGACTCTAGGTGGCCGGGTGGTATGCGGAAGGGGGTGTGCCTGGGGGTGGCACTGTACGTGAGGAGTGGGCATTGGGTGTGAATATGGTGTGCAGCTGTGATGGTGGCATGCATGATTGTGATGTGTTGTGTGTGACAGGGTGTGGCGTGTGCACGATTGTGGTGTGTGGCACGTGTGGGCAAGTGTGTGCGTGACTGTGGGGGGCTGTATATGGGCTGTGTGTGACTGAGCCTCTGACCATAGGCGCCGACTCCGTGGGTGCTCCGGGGCTGGAGCACCCACGGGGAAACATTGGTGGGTGCTGAGCGCCCACCGGCAGCCCCCCACCCCACCCCCACGGCCCAGCTCACCTCCGCCTCCTCCCCTGAGCGTGCCGTGTGCCCGCTTTTTCCCCCTGGCTCCCAGCTGTTTCACGCGGCAAGTGCTAGGAGGGGGAACACGGCGCTCGGGGGAAGAGGTGGGGCCGGGGAGGGGATTTGGGGAAGGGAGGGGGCGGAGTTGGGGCAGGGACTTTGGGGAAGGGGTTGGAATGGGGGCGGGGCAGGGAAAGGGTGGAGTCAGGGTGGGGCCAGGGGCGGGGGGGACACAAGCACCCGCCGGCGATGGGGAAAGTTGGCACCTATGCCTATGACGGTGGGCTGTGTGTGTTTGTGATGGGGGTGTGCATATGTGACGGTGGGGTGTGCGGTGGGTGGGTATGTCTGTACCTGTGGGTGTGACAGGGTGTGTGTCTGTGCAGGTGTGTCTGTGATGGTGAAGTATGTGTGTACACGCGTATCTGTGACAGTGAAGTGTCTGTCATAGGTGTGTGTGCACAAAGGTGGGTGTGCACACGGGTGTCTGTGAGAGGGTATGTGTGTGAAGGTGTGTGTGAGAGAGACGGGGGGTGTCCACATGAATGGTTGTGTCTGGGGCAGTGTGCGTTAGTTGGTGTGTCTGCGATGCGGAGTGTCAGTGTGTGCGGGTGTGTCTGTGACGGGGTGTGTGCGCATGTGGGTGTGCCTGTGATGGTGGGCTGTGTGTGTGTGTGCGGGTCTGTTTGTGATGGAGTGTGCACCCATGTGTGGGTACGTGTGTGACAGGGTATGCCTGTGTGTGGGTGTGGGTGTGATGGGGTGTGTGCCCGTATGGGGGGGTGTTTGTGACGGGGGAGGTGTCTGTGCGTGCTGGGGTGTGTGCAACAGGGCAAGGGGGTGCCTGTGTGTGGCTGTGATGGGGTGCGTGGTGTCACCTACTCCATACGAGGTCAGGCAGGACTTTGGGGAACCTCCTCTCCCTCGGAGCGGACTGTCTCCAGGGCAAGGAGCTCACACGGCTTCACCTCCTGGGTCTGACCTCGGAGCATTCGGCATATGCCCCCTCCGGGCGCCCCCACAGTGAGTCCGCCCAGGCGGGGTCCTGGGGCAGCCAGAGGGTCCTGCACTCCCCACTTCGCAGTCAGACGTGACTCTCAGACAGCCGGGAGAACAGAAGATTTATTAGTCAACAGGATCACAGCATAGGACAGAACTCATTAGCACAGAAATCAGTGACTTTCAGCCAAGTCCATTTGGGGGGACCCCAGGCCAAATGCCCTGGACTCCCCCTCTTCCAGCCCCCCCACGCAGACTGCCAGCTTCCAGCCACCCCACCTCCGACACCCCCTCATGCCCCTCCTCCTTCTCTGTGTCTCACTTCCCCGGCCAAACCTGGCACCTGGTCGCACCCCCCTCCTGGGTCTCAGGTTACACAGGTGCCAACAGCTGGGCAGCCTCACCTGCCCCACGGCCTCAGCAAAATCACCCCCCAATTCCCATCCCCGAAGTATTGGGGCAGCACACAGGGAAACTCACATGCAACATAACAAGATGAATAAAACACGACTTTGTCACACGTGGCTGTGTGGGTGTGACGAGGTGTTGGTGTAGGTGTGACGGGGTGCAGATCTGACGGTGTGACATGGGGGGGTGTCGAGGTGTCTGTGTGAGTGTGACAGGGTGCCTGTGTGAGTGTGATGGGGTGTTAGTGTAGGTGTGACGGGATGTGGGTATGACGGTATGATGTGGGGGGGGTGTCTCTGTGGTTGTGATAGTGTGTCTGTGTGGGTGTGATGCGATGTTGGTGTGGGTGTGACGGGGTGCAGGTGTGACTTGGGGTGTGTGTGATGGGGTGTGGGTGTGATGGGGTGGGTGTCTGAGTGTGGGTGTGACAGGGTGTCTGTGTGGGTGTGACGGGCTGCGGGTCTGATGATGTGACGTGGGGTGGGTGTGTCTGTGACGTGGGGTGTGACGGGGTGTCGGTGTGGGTGTGACGGGGGTGCGGGTCTGACGGGATGACATGGGGTGTGTGTGTCTGTGACGTGGGGTGTGATAGTGTGTCGGTGTGGGTGTGACGGGGGTGCAGGTGTCACGGACTCACAGATCGTGCCCACTCTTGGCCCCTTGTGGTCCGTGGGGGGTGCCCCTTTCAGTGAGACAGCCCTTCGTGGGGGTCCACTCTCTCTCGGGGTCAGGCCCCTCCTGTGATGAAGTGGGACTGTTCTTAATGTTTTCCTCAGTTTCCCCTATGCAGTTCTTAAGTATCTAGGTGGTGGGATAAGGGTGTATGGTTGCTGCAGAGCAAAGGGCCAGGGTACATAAATGCCCGACACTCTGTCTCCTGGCAACTGATGGCCTGGGCCCCTCCTCTGCAAAGGTGCCAACTGAAGGTGTTGGAGACAAAGGGATCAGGTGACCTCCTAGCCCAGGAAAGAGACAAAGCCCAGAGAAGGAGGGGCTGGACGGGGGTTGGAGTTTGGAGCTAGCTGGGGACTGGAAGGGAGGGCAGTCGGGGGTCTGCCTCACTGGGCCTAGGGTGACCAGATGTCCCGATTTTATAGGGACAGTCCCGATTTTGGGGTCTTTTTCTTATATAGGCTCCTATTACCCCCCACCCCCCGTCCCGATTTTTCACACTCACTGTCTGGTCATCCTAACTGGGCCCCAGAATGGACCCGGTGGAGGAATCCCATTCGCTGTACTTACAAGCTCTGTTTTAGACCGTGTTCCTGTCATCTAATTGAAGGACATAAATCCACACCGCGTAGAGGTCAAAGCATAGGGGTTTATTACACACAGCGCTGGCGGAGTGTCACTTGGCTTATTAGGCTCAGAGACACTGTCAATCAATTGATTACAATGGAATATATAGATTTTCCATGGGCGGGGGGGAGTGACGGGGTAGGCAGTTCCACACCCTGGGATAGTTTTTGCAGCAAGACAAGATAGCACAATAGCCAATGGTTAAAAGGTTACACAATGTCTCCGCCCATGGTCTCAAGTTAGCAAGTTAACATTTGATTAATACTTTGATAAAATGTTATTAGTATAAAATATATATGTTGAATTCTGATTTGGGGTCCATAGGAACGGAGTAACTCCTTTGATTGTCCGACAGGTACATGTCTAGGGGATAAAGCAAAGAAACAGTGAAAGCATATGAAAATAGAGATTGTCTCCTTTATGTCTTAAGGCAGTGCATTGGTCCCTTGGAAGGGAAGTGGAAGGGTGCCATATCATTATAGTGACATGTGCCAATATTTCATAAACTCAAGGTTGGATCTGTGGGAAGACTGTTTTCCCTTCAGGAGAAACACAATAGGAACAGGGACAACAAGGAGTCTGGTGGCACCTTAAAGACTAACAGATTTATTTGGGCATAAGCTTTCGTGAGTAAAAACCTCACTTCTTCGGATGCACCGAAATAGGAACAGGGATCCTTTGTTCAATTTGAAACATTGGATGAAACATAATTATTCAGTTATTGCTTCAACATCTGGCATTTCTACTGAGCAAGCATATCTTAGCAAAGGCAATGTTATCTTGTTTACCCCAGCTTTCTCGTAGCTGATCACTATTAGCTAGGCCTCTGGTCTCCAGACCAAACTCTGGACTTTGGGTCTGGAAAAGAGCTGGCATAATTCATATACCAGGTTGTTTATATAACATGCACATGGATTTTAACCCTTCACTAATAAACCTCTGTTTTACTGGCTGGCTGAGAGTCACGTCTGACTGCGAAGTGGGGGGTGCAGACCCCTTTGGCTTCCCCAGGACCCCGCCTGGGTGGACTCGCTGTGGGAAGCGCACGGAGGGGCATATGCTGAATGCTCCCAGGAGAGACCCAGGAGGTGAAGCCGTGTGAGCGTCTTGCCCTGAAGACAGTCTGCTCTGAGGGAGAGGAGGCTCCCCAAAGTCCTGACTGGCTTTGTGGGGAGCAGTTCCCGAGTATCGCCCGGGGACTCCGTGACACCTCCACCTCCTGGAGCCGCACCTCTCGGAGCCTCAGCACGTCCATCTCTGTCGTGGGCCCCCTCAGGGAGTCCCCTCGCTCTGGACCCCCGGGTCCTTCACCCCCGAAGGGGTTGATGCCACCCTGTTCTCTAGACCGTATTTAGTCCTGCCATGTGGGCAGGGGACTGGACTCGATGACCTCTCGAGGTCCCTTCCAGTCCTAGAATCTATGAATCTATGACTCTCAGCCAGCATAAAACAGGAGGATTTATTGAGAGTTGAACACAGCACAGGAAACTCTCTGACCCTCAGGCCTGGCCTCCCTCGGCCCAGCACACCCCAGTCTCTCTGCATCCAGGTGTATAACTGATGAATTAAATAGGGTTACCATATTTTGAGCCTCCAAAAGGAGGACACTCCACGGGGCCCCGCCCCTTCCCCAAAGTCCCCACCCCAACTCCGCCCCCTCCCCTGCTTCCCGCGAACATTTAATTCACAGGAAGCCTGAAGCAGGTAAGGGCGGTGTGGGGGGAGGAGGCGCGGCCCAGTCTGGCCCCCCCGGCCTCTCCAGCTTGGGTCAGCTCGGGCCCTGGAGTAACCCTAAATTACCTATGGTAACCCTAAATTAAATTGTTTTTAATTGTTCACTTTATTAATGTAACTTCATAAGTAAAGTTTTATGAATGAAACAATATTCATTCCTAAAACCGGTTACCCCAATAACTGGCTAATTAACAG